GTAGCTGCTAGTTTCTTCATTTGTTGTTCTGCTTTCTAGTAGTTGTCTTTTGGAGTCTGTTGCCAGGGCGTAGGGTAATGCCTAGATGATTAAGGTGGGATGAATTTATTAAATACTTTGATGCGTGTGATGTTCGTCACCTCGCTTGGCTCTGGATCATTTCCCCTCCGGCCGCAGATTTTTAGAGCACTTGCACCAGGCCCTGCTATCTCGGCTCTTCAATATTGCTTTAAGATCTGTGCGAGACAACTAACTTCGTATATAAAATTTTCTCTTTTTTGTTTCTCTCATATAGAACATGTTTTGAACTTCAAACTTTGCAGCGCAGCAAAACTTACTAACTAGAATGTGGGATAAAACTTTCAGAATTTTTGGTCCAACATAAATACTAAAATATATATATATTTTAATCAAATAAAACTTATTTTGTATATTTATGTTGGACAAATAAACATAATTTTTTTATCCTAGATTCTAGCTAGAAAGCTTTACTATTCTGTAAAGGTTTGAACTTGAAGACATGTTCTATGTGAGAGAAAGAAAAAAGAGAAATGTACTTGCACGGATCATGATGCGAAGAATGGATGGCCAGATAAGAAGGGCCTAAGTGCAGGTGCTCTAGAATATATTTTCGTTTCCCCTACGGGGTTTTGACAGACTTGGGGGGGGGATGTTAGGGTCGATTATGGTCTCGTAGTTTGTTTTCGAATGCTATGGTTTTCTATAATGAAAATTGGAAGGGGAGAACCCTTCTTTTATCAAAAAAAAAAGATCTAGTAGCATCTCGCAGTCGAGTGCCTGGTGGGACGACTGAGTGTTGACAGTGGCATGTTCACATCCTCGATAGTCAGGGGTTGAGCAGTCGGGCATGGGTTGAACATGAGCTGACACCACGTCACCGAGAGAATCCTTCTCGGGGACGTGATGACCTTTCTGCGCAACGCCGAGTGAATTCCCCTCGGCATCATGATGACGTTTCGCCATGAGGGCACAGAGATGAGCCTTGTGGACGACATGATTATTCTCCATGACAACAAAGTAATCCTCCTAGTCATCGCAATGCTTCTTTACGCCACCGAACGACTGTCCCCGACGGCATGGTGATTCGCCTTGCAATCGGGATGCCTCTCCCCGACTGTGGGATGATCCGCCGCTCAGGAGGGGTGACCAGTGTTGTGGGCACGATGATTTGCCTTGATGCCATGGAGATTCTCCCAAGAGACGGGGTGTCTCACCACAATATGGGGATGATCGACATTACAACGCACGTGAAGTCGTGGTTCACGACCTAATGGACCGCACAAGAGCCGCGCAGCGCTAACAAGAATACGATAGACCAGGTGGATCAGGAACTTCAGGCCTATTGTGTTTCAGTCGGCATATTCATACTACCCCCTTCCCCGACCAATTCCGGATGGGCTCAGGAATTGGGAATTATGATGGCAATACTAAGCCAGAAACCAGGCTAGCAGATTATCTTGTGGTCATTCAGATCAGAGGTGGCAATGAGAATATATATGGCCATGTGGGATCTTTCTCTCTACCTTGAGAGATTAGCTCAGGCCTGGCTGAAAATCTGCCAGAGGACAATATATATAGCTGGAGAGAACTCAAAGATGTTTTCTTCAAGAAGGCACATACAAACTCCCTAGAGGATATCAAGTGTTGATGCTCTGTGTTCAGAAGCCTAGGAGTCCTCTCAGGATTACATTTAGATACGAAAGTAGCTCTGCAACTCAGTGGAAGGGGTGACAGAAGACCAAGTGATTCTTGCCTTCCAGCAAGGTGTGAGATATGAGCACCTCCAACTCAAGCTTGGGTGAACGGAGATAACCACCATGTGCCAATTGATGGACATTGCCAACCGGTATGCAAATGGTGAGGAAGATGACATAATTCTGAAAGGCGGGCCACGGAACCAACCAGATGCTCAGAAGGGCCAGGACAACCAAAATTAACGGAATGACAAGAGAACGAGTACCGCCAGTCGGACGGGGTCAGTGGAGCATAGCTGGTCACTGCAGTGGCAAAGCAAAAAAAAAGTACTGGACAAGCCTTGTTGCATTGACAACATTGAGGAGTTTGGCCCAACTAAGCATACACTATTAGAGTGAAGGGCTCTGAAGAAGATGCAGTCGGCGAAGGACAAAGAAACGACTTATGATGAAGGTGACAAGGAATCATAAGACCCTGCACGTGGATACCCTGGCGAGAAGGATGTCCGGTGATTTTTCTTGGCTGGAGACCAATCGGATGTGGAAAGTCAGGAATCAGGAAGCCAACATGGCAGCCCAACTATCCCCAAATACATGAACTGGTCGGAGAAGCCCATTACCTTTGGCCGGTCGGATCATTTACCTCATCTGTCATACCCCGAACGGCAAGCTCTTGTGGTCGATCCGCTTGTCAACAGATTTCGACTACAAAACATATTGGTGGATGGAGGAGCCTGACTGAACATATTATATGCAAGTACTTTGGACAAAATGAGAATTCCCCGGCCGAGGCTTAATCCGACTCGATGACCTTCCACGGGGTGGTCCCTAGCATCCGAGCCAAACCACTTGGGCAGATCTTTCAAGAGGTCGTTTACGGCGACGAGAAATTTTTCCGCAAGGACTCCTTGTCCTCCACGGTGGTCAACTTCAAGAGTGAGTACCACACCATTTTTGCCCCACGTACACAAAAATTATGGCCCGTCCATGCTATGTGTACTTGAAGATCAAAATGTGATTGGCGAAGCGTGGATGGCCAAATTGTGACATGTGTCCTCTTTGCAAGAGGATGCAAGAAAGGGGGACTCACCTCCTCTACAAGGGCCGCTACACCAGAAGGCTATGGTCTTTGGTCATTGAGAAATACCACATTCTCGGACTCGACACAAACACTTGGCCCTTGTTCGACTCGGTTGAGGCTTGGTGGGCAAGTACATGCGACAGCGCCACACCATTCAGACAAGCCAAGGCATCCCTCACCATGCTCGTCTCATGGACTATTTGGAACGAGCGAAATGCAAGAGTGTTCAAGCAGAAGAGCGCGCCACCGACTACATTGCTTGCCTCCATCACGACTGAGGCTAGCCTCTTGATCATCGCCGGTGCAAAAAAACTAGGGTCCATAATATTGCGAGAGTAATTCCCATGCCGTGTAATCGGGTTGCTTCAGGGCCGGTCCTGAGATTTCTGGGGCCCGGGGCGAAGTCAAGACTTGGGGCCCTCTTAATATTGGTTATCATGTATAATTTGTTTATCAGTTTTCATGGCAAAATTGCATAGCAGGTATGGCATAGGGTTTTTATAGATAGAGAATTGGAGACATACCTTCTCTAGTTGGGCGATCTGTTCGCGGTGATGTATGGCAGAATGGGCCTAGCAATGGGACGTGTTCGGCCAGGGTGCACATGAGATCAAGCGGTAGTAACACCATCACAGTAGGGCGCACAAGAGATCAATCGCGAGGGTGAACCGTGCTAGGAAGGCAATGTTGCTGCATGGTGGTGGTGTGTGATAAATAATTAAGACATGGACGATTGCTTAACAATACGAACATTAGTACTGCACATATGTAAATTGGTTCATGAAATGACATGTCAAAGGAACTATTCAGATTTAGTACTCTACAAAGAAACGAGATTTAGAACTCAAGGTTTAGGCGATGAAAGATTTTCAACAGCTGCATCATTTTATTTTTCTTTTGTAGTAGGACTGAATTTGTATATTGGACCAGGATTACCAGTGCTGGAAGTCAGAGGTAGGAGGTGGAGCGGCTTCTTCTTGCACGGAGATTCGGTGGAGATGTCAAGTCATGCCTGGCTGACAGCTGCTACGCTTTGTCATGTCTGGTCGGCAGGTGCTACGCACGATAGATCTTCCTGAGATTTCAAGTTGTGTCGGCTGGTGGTACTTGGCGGCATGGTGCTGAGGTGTACCGTCGAGGACCGCGACGTGCTCAGCAGTTCGTGCGCAGGGAGGTGCTGAAGTTGGGCGTCGTGGTGGTGACGAAGACAGCTAGATTGGGCAAGGATGATGCATCAGTACAACTCTAAAGATGGAGTGGTGGCAGTTGACGGCGGCGGCCTCTGAGAGCGCACCGGACCGGTGTATGCCCCATACCGGGCAAGTGGCTTGGTTGGGGCCTCAGGTCTTAGATGTTAGACTTGGCTGCGAGGTCTGTGGTATTAGGCCCGGACTATCAGCATCCTTTCATCAACTGGATAGGAGTAGCGACAGATGTTGCCTAGACGGTGGCTTCAGACTTATTGATGTGTTTCCTTTTGCCATTATCTTGGGGAGAGTCTTGAACATGGTCTGAATTCTTGCTCTCATCTAGCTGGCCAATCAACGGATTAGTTGATCAATAGATGAACTTACGAAAGCTAGGGTGATTGACAGATGCAAATTGAGGACTGGCGATAGCCCGGTGGTACATGAGAGTGTAGTGGCGCGTCCTCACCGGGGCTGGCTCAACTCCCTGTGGACGTGGAATTTGGCCACATCAGAAAAATCGGATTCAAGTTAGATCACCGTAGATGCTATGATCCTAGCTACCTTGTTCGTCTTGCGAGCTGAAGAGGAAATATTAGACCAACAAAGAAATTTTGGGAAGGTGACTGCAGGGAAATTGGTAGACTTTTGACTTCCTTTGCGCACATGTTATTTTGTGGAATGTCACACCCTAATTTCTGCAACATATATGGCCATGGTGAACTAAGTCTCAGGCGCATCTGTCTGTGTAGTTTGGCATGCCACAGCTTGGTTGAACCCCTCTGCATCTCCACTGGGAAGGGAGGGTTTGCGAGAAACCTCAAGGGGCACGAGATTGTCGAGCAGGTCCTTCCTATCTCCCAGCAACCTGCGCTTGTCATTGCTTTGTAGTGAAACATTATTGTAAACAAGCTGAACTCATGTTCTTTTCTGTTGCGTTGTGGGTTGATGTTCTGGGCATTGCAGGTATTGGCCATAGAGGAGTCGTTCAAACACAGGGTGACAAATGTAGTTTTCATGGGTATGGGTGAGCCCATGCTGAACCTCAAAGCAGTTCTGGAGGCTCACCAATGCTTGAATAAGGTATGTTGAATTGGCAAGTCTCCAAGTCGTGTGTTCCCTTGAGCTCAGTTTATTTTCATGATACATTGGACCATAAATTACTTTGTGTATGCTAAATAAGAAGATGTTTGATATGTGTCCTGTCATTCAACATGAATATACTATTTTCAGGAACTAAAGATTGGGCAAAGGATGATGACAATCTCAACAGTAGGTGTTCCCAACACGATAAGTAAGCTAGCATCCCACAAGCTTCAGTCGACACTGGCAGTCAGGTGCGATGTCAAAATATTCCAAACTTGGGTTCTTAGCATCAACAATAGATAATGCGGCCTTGGTTTATGCTTGCTACTTACCAAACTCACTTAATAGTCTATATTCCTTGTAAGAAACTGCCCCCTTTTGACATTGTCCAAACCCTGGGCATAGCTGGAAGAAACTGTCTATTATAAGCAGCATTTGCTTCTATAGTTTGTTTTCTGACTATTGTGCTGTATTCGTATCAGCCTGCATGCCCCAAATCAGAGGCTGCGCGAAACAATTGTTCCAAGTGCAAAGGCATATCCTCTGGAAGCACTAATGGATGATTGCAAGAATTATTTCCTCGAAACTGGACGCAGGGTATCCTTCGAGTACACTCTGCTAGGTAATCTAGCTATGTCTTTCACTGAGTGATCCATCTATCTGACGGGGATGATTGTTAAAAACTGCATTATGATTTCAGCCATTGTCACCTGACATGATTGAACTGTTCCATTTTTCCTCAGCTAGGATTAACGATGAAAAGGCGCACGCTGAAGAACTTGCAGCGCTGCTGCATGCATGTGGAGGTGGTTATCACGTGAACTTGATTCCCTATAACCCGGTAGAAGGATCTGAGTACAAGAGGCCGTACAGAAAAGCGGTATGCTATCTATCTCAGTCTTAGTCACAATGCCTATCATGGAATTTGTTTGTGATTTGAGATTGTTGGTACTTATGTTTGGAATTTTGCACAGATTCAAGCGTTTGTTGATGCACTAGAATCTCGGAAGATCACAGTCAGCGTTCGACAGACCCGTGGGCTTGACGCTAATGCGGCTTGTGGGCAGCTCAGGAATGAGTTCCAGAAGAATCCTCTGCTCGAGTCGTCCCCACCCTCTGAGCCCAACCAACTGCTCGAGTCGTCTACGCCCTCGGAGCCCAGCCTTGTTCCCGCTTAGTGATGAAATATATATCAATTATGTAGAAATTGAGATTTTGTGAATTTCTACATTCTAAAGTTCACACATGCCCTGAATTGCTCTGCTCATACAGAGATCACCGGCTTATAAGTTATAAAGCTGATTAGGGGGCAGCCTCCTGTAGCTGATGAGCTTATTCATATTTGACATGAGAGGCTCCTGTTCAGTTGAGATTTGAAGGATTTTCTTTAAGCTATGATGTATTCTGCATTAAGTCAGTATATGTATTTGATGAAAGTTCTGTATATTGCTAGAGAATTTTGGAACAAATAGTATGTATGGTTATGCTAGCTGCCAAATCTTATGCCACAATTGTCTGAATTTCAATATAACCGTCCTCCAAAATATTAAAATAATATCAAATGAATTTAAGAACAAATTATCAGGTAAAAGAATATATCAATGAAAACAATTACAAAGTTCTGTTCAAGTATGGAAGTTCTGAGAAGAAACTGTGATATGAAGTGTTACTACAAAAATATTTGTAGTCGATATAAATTATCTGTTTTTTGTTTAGATCAAAGGAGCCTCCGGCCCCCATTTCCAATTAAGAAAATAGAGTATTTTTTAGAATACGAAGCAATAACATCATACACCCCCAAGACATACATTCTGCCTACATCTGGGGTGCTAATCAAGAAGAAAGAGAAACTTTAACTAGGGGAGATACAGACCCTCTCACACCCAGCAACTACCCTCTACAGAAGCATCACACACTACTGGACTCAACTCATCAGATTAGAGACTAATTTATGTAGTATTACAGTCAGAACATGTAAAAAGGAAACGTTGAAATCATGTAGCAAAGCCGAAAATCACTTCACTGGTAGGCACCTATCCTTTTAACTGTAGGTCCCCAGCCATGGCCTCCCTGAAGATTTTCACTCGTCAGTTGACCAAAGTCTTCTAGACACTATGAGCAGCATTTTTCGCAATCCTCTTTTCTGTGGAAATGTCCACGAATCCAACAGAGAACATAAAGAAATTATAACATTAGTAGGGCAATTAGGAAGTATACACTTTAAAAGCAAGATTTGATTATTGTTTTCCAGACACTCCATAAAAGTCTAGCAAGACCTACAGAGATTATAGCCCTATCCTTGCAAGTATAGCTAGATAGCCAATTCTGGCATAAATCTAGAAAAGACTTTGGGGTTTTGGAATTCCCCAAAGCAGCCCCAATAACATTCGATAAGAACCTAGCTAGTGAACAAGAAAAGAGCAAGTGATCAATGCTCTCTTCATTGTCACAGAACTCACATTTCCTACTTCCTGTCCACCCTTCGTTACTCAAGTTATCTTTGGACAAAAATCTATTTTAAATAACAAGCTAGGAAAAGGCTTTAACTTTTAAAGACATTTTCGTCCTCCACAACAACTTGTAGGGGAAGACAACATGTCTAGCAATGATGTATTGAGTATGATAAATCGACTTAAGAGAGAAAGTACCCAAGGTTTTGAGTAGCCACTTAACCTTGTCAATTTCTTCAGTCTAAACAACTTGACCACAAATATCCAACATGTCATTCCAGATAGCCAAGGTATGCCCGTACATGCATTTGTCTTTCTAAGAGAAATAATAAACACAATCACACATTTGTTTCTCAACCTTAGTAATACTGACGTCACATTAAATTTAGAGTGAAAACATAGGCACTAATATCAATGTTCTGCCACCAACATACAAGAAATAGGGCGCCTAACTTTTATTGTTTGCTAACTAATAGAAGAAAAAACAAATCTCGCACTGATAAAAGCAGGGAAAATTTACCTTTATTTTTATCTCTATTATCAAAGCATGCAAGTCACATCACTGTCCCGATTTACAATTGTTGAATCAATAATAAATTTGGACTTACAAACCAAATCACTAAACCCGACTCTAAGAAAGTCAATAAATTTGATCATGTGGTGTAAATCCTAGAAACTCTAAATCTAACTATAAGATACAGAGGAACCACGATACAGATGATTGTGGAATGGACAATTTAGGTTCAAATCCTAAAATCCTCAAATCTTTAAATTCGACTCGCCACCAAACCAATATGCCGTTGCCAACAGAGCGCATACTCAACTGCTTCTGCCAGTGGCAAATCTAGAAAGAAAATGCATTGTGGGTTCAAAGTTCACGCCAAGAAAACCGAACACTCTTTAGAATAAAAAAAATGGTTATTTCCTAATCCTTTTGTGCAAATAAAGTGAAATTTTCCCAGATCACTACCGGAAACATGTAGTATTTATAGATTTTTTTTCAGGTTTTAGGAAAAATATCAAATTTTAAAAGAAGAAAATGTTTTTACCAATTCAAAGAGACAATATGTGCCAAAAATGTGCTCATATTGACATGACATTTCTGAACACCAATACTAGCAGCATGATTGACATACAACAAAGTTTCATACAATCCGCATAACAATACATCAAATACTAGAGAAGTGACCAAAAAAAGACAAAGACAATGATATTGATGTTCTCAATGAGAGCGGGTTGAATGATAAAATTGATTGGGGCAATAATGGATTGAGAAACAATAAGAAGTCTATTTGAACTGCTTGCAAACCAACTATACAAAATCTTTTTTCTTTTCATTTCTACAAAAAAAGATAAAACAATGATAGAAATTAGTTCATGTATTAATTATAATTAGAAGTAAACTAGCTATTGACTAGAAGTCCGAAACAAAATAGCTATCAACTAAACTATCTACTGCACTAACCAGTGAACTAACAAATTAGACAGAGCCAAAGACAGCCTCCTCTTGGACGGGCGATGGCGGATCCGGCAAGCTGCAGAGGGCCCTGGGTGACGACGCATTCGGCGAGCTGCAGAGGACGGGCAACGGTGAATGCAGTGAGCTTCCGAGGATCCTAGGAGACGAGCTCCCCAGCAGCCCTGCTCCCTCGATGATGGATCGGTGCCTCGGTTGATGACGACGCCCAGAGGGGAGGCGGCGTCCAGGCCGGAGGCTGACAGACGACGTCCGGTGAAGAGCCGGCATCCGTCGTGAAGGTTGCGGGCGGCGTCTGGTGGGTAGGTTTGGTGGTGGCACTTATGCGCGTGCTAATCGATGGTGGTTATTTGCTCGTGCACGTGGGGGAACCTTAGGTGCTTAGCCACCGATTTTGCTTAGACGAGTTGCCTGCTGGACCAGTTGTTTTGGGATAAGCTTAACAAATGTGTTGAAGTCTAGTATTAAATAAAGTTTAACGAATTTGGAGGCTAAGGTCGAGCCTACCGAAGTTTCTCTGTTGGGTTCCTCACTTTCTTCTGCCAATATAACTTCAACTCCCGTATATTAGCAGGTCATTAATGTTGTCATGAGCATGCGTTAACTCGCTAATAGTTTAGCCGAATTAATGTCAAACATTCTAAATTGTTTATACTAAACATTTTTATTTTTTGAAAGACATTGATTGTCATATTTTTTTGCAAACAATAGAAAAGTAGTGACACAAAGTATTAAAATATATTGTTTGTATATACAGTCTAATCTTTCGATTAAAAATACATAGGCATTAAGTTGAGACAACAATTTTTTTGCTGATGTTTGTTTGAGACATTATTCCCAAAAGGCTATTTCTTATAATTTATTTCTAGATGAAAGAAAATATCACATTACTCTCTAAATTAATTTGTGGCATTTATGTGTTAACATATAGTTTATTATCTTCAAATAATTTGTGAGCTCTAGAGTAACAAGTTAGAAAGATCTTGATAACTATTTCTAAAGAGTATATAGTTGATTAACTTAGGCATAAATAAATAGAAAGCTCTAGAATGTGTGGGATGCCTACAAGTTGCGCAAAACAATTGTTCCAAGTGCAAAGTCAAGTCATATACTCTGGAAGCACTAATGGATGACTGCAATAATTATTTCCTTGAAACTGGATGCAAGGTATCCTTCAAGTACACTCTGCTAGGTAATCCACCAATGCCTTTACACCGAATGGCCCATCTATCTGACGAGGATGGGTGTTAAAAACCGCATTATCATTAAAGCTATATATATCAACACCTAACATGCATCAAGTGTTCCATTTTCCTCAGCTAGGTTAACGATGAAAAGGCGCACGCTGAAGACCTAACATGCATGCGGAAGTGGTTATCAAGTGAACCTAATTATCTATAACCTGGTAGAAGCTTATGACTTTCTCAGCACAGGAGGAAAAAGCATTATGCTATCTATCTCAGTCTTACTTAGTCACAATGCCTATCGTGGAATTGTTTTTGGTCTGACATGTTATGGTGGTGATTTGCCCAGATCCCAGCGTTCGTTGATGCATTGGAATCTTGGAAGATCATGACCAGCGTTCGACAGACCCGTGGGCTTGACGCTAATGTAGCATGTGGGAAGCCCAGGAATGAGTTCCAGAAGAATCGTCCTCTGCCTGAGTCGTCCCCACCCATATGGCCAACCAACTGCCCGAGTCATATATGCCCTCAGAGCCCAGCTTTGTTCAAGCTAACACGGGGAAATCTACCTGAATTATGTAGGAACCTAGTTATTTCTGTGTTCTAAAGTTCACATAGGTTCACAGGTCACTGGCTTATAAGTTGTAAAGCTGATTAGGAGGTAGCTTTCTGTGCGTAATGAGTTTATTCCTATTCGACATGCGAGGCTCCTGTTCACTTGTGTTTTGAAGGATTTTCTTTGAGATATGTAGTATTCTACAAGAAGTTAGTATATGTATTCGATACAAATTATGTATATTGATAGAGATTTTTGGAACAAATAATTATGTATATGGTTGTGGAAGCTGCCCAATCTTGTGCCATCACAGCCTGAATTTCTACGTAGCCATCCCCTAATACATGCAAAGAATATATCCAAGAGAATTAAAGAACAAAATAACATGTAAAAAGATATGTGTTGTAATGAAAAATAAATTACAAGGTGCTGATAAGTTATGAAGAGTTCTGAGATGAAACTGAGACATGAAGTGTTACATACAAAATGCATGTATTTGATCCAAGTTCTG